CTGCTTTGGCATTGGAAAAGGCTAAATAGAGAGGAGGGAAGGATGGAGTTCCAAATAATAGAATATAAACAGGGAGAGCTAGAAAAGAATAGCAAAGAAGATAAGCACAGTGAGGAGACGTTAGCAATAAAAAGGCTAATGGAAACAGAGTCTCTCTGTCTCTCTCATACACACACATGGACACATACACAAATCTGTCTAGCTATCTGTCTATCTCACAATGAAACAGTGGGAGAGGAAGACAGCAAAGAAACAAAGAATCATTTTACAAACCATTATTGAAAAGGTGCCTGTTGGGTCCAGACTAGTTTGCTTGCCGTCAGAATCTCACAGTTTCTGCCACATTTCAGACCAGAACGGGCATATGAGAAAAACGTGAAAATTGCTTCAAGTGTAATGTGTGAATTGTGAATCTGCTCAAAAGCAACTAGGACAGAGTGCCCCCTAACATTCAGTTGTTATCACATTGATCTTAAGTTCTGTTATTGTATGAAAAGGAAAGAGAGCTGCACTTGTCACTCTGCTACTAACTGCAGAGACGAAAATTAATGTCATTCTGTCCAACAAAACTAATTAGCAAATATAGGCAAATATTAATTTGTTTTCATTTTCTTAAAGCTAACCTATTGTACATCAACAGCATCAGATCAGATGTCAATCAGCAAAGACCATAAATCATAAAGGCCTAAAACATTCAAAATAAAACTGTATTCTGGGGCACACTATTGTGATGGTCCCCAGAGCCTAGGAAAATAGCCAGTTCTTCATTTAGCATTGAAATATCCATGATGTAATGGCTTTGGAGGGGGAATTGCTTCGTTTATAGGAATACCTATGGTTTTCATGATCCACCAAAATTTAGTGAAACTTGATTAAGTTGTTGTATATAATGAATGTGCTAACACTATTTTGGAGGGGGAGGGTGGCAGAAAGCACTGCCACTGGGTTTTTATTGCATAATGACATTTTTTATTACTATGACATGCTGAAACAAACCATTGAATTTTCAGAAATATAAAGGTAAAACTAATGATACCCCCTTGACACTTGGCTGAGACCATAGATCTCTGATGGCAAACCTTTTTAGCCTCGGACACACATGTACACTATTTTGTGCCCACCGCTATAATTTAATGCCCCCCTGGCATCATGCCCCCTGCACATGTGCACATGACACACACACACCGCTGCCCTGTGCATGCGCACATGGCTTTCTTGGAGCCTGGGGAGGCAAAAACTGCCTCTCCACCTCCTCCAGAGCCCCATTTTCTGTTGTCCGTTAGGTCCATTTTTCGCCCTCCCCAGGCTCCAGACACTTTCTAGGAACCTGTGGAGGGTGAAAAATGGCCCAACGTGCATATCAGAAGTTTAGGAACAGACTTCTGAGTTGCCTGTTGGCCCATTTTTCTCCCTCCAGAGGTTTCAGGAGGCTTCTCTTTTCACCTCCAGAGGGTGAAAAACAGTCCAACGCGCAAACTGGAAGCCCGTTCCCACCTCGCGTGTCCTCAGAAACGGCTTCGTTTGCCACTTGTGGCACATGTGCCATTATGGCCATAGATGATCTTTACTATTTGGAGTGCTCCAGTGATTCTTTATAATGAGCAGAAAATGATCAGGAATCAAGACTTGCATTTCACAAAATAGCATTGCTTTGTACATAATGCAATAATTTGGAAAGAATCAATGGGATAAATACTTGAATCTTCCTGATGGCTTCTTATGCATGTTACTAAGATACTATATTATGCATTTGTGGCCTTGTTGTATACCGGTTGAATACATTTCTCCATGTTTACTATTGACATCATGCAAGTAGGTATGCTTTAACCAAGAAGACTAGAAGCAACCTCTCCAAGTATTGGATGAGAATTCTCATAATTCCCAGCACATATGGCAATTCTATATTGTATGAGTCTCCCTAAACTTGGATAATTTGATTTCTCAGAAAATGGGTAATGGCTTTATAATGTTATATTCCAAAAGAGAGGGATAACATTTTGAACTAACCCTAGGTGTTGGATTTTGGATAGGTACTAATCATTTATTGGATTGCTGTTCTTTTATATATTATTAGAGTCACAACTGGATTCCTGCTGACAAAGAACATTTTCTCAAAATGAATGTATACAAACTTTTTAAAATGGACTTTTGTATTGTAGCTTTCCTGGGTTATCTCTTCCTTCTAGAGACTTAGATTTTTTGTTTAAAAAAGCTTTCACTTGAATACCATTTTAATTACAAATCAGAAAGTTCCAATAATTTAAAACATAAAATACATCTACTAAAGTGCTAGAAAAACCTACGGATCCATCTTGCTTTGGCAAAGGAATGAACTAATAATAAGGCTTTTAGATTTTATTACTGTTTGTATCAAATTATTTTCAGGAAATTCTGAGAATTAAGAATATAATCAATCAAAGAGTTGATGTATCTTTTCTTTTCCATAAGGTTCTTATTTCACACTTTAAATGGCACCATTCAGATGGTGTCTTTGCAAACTTTTTAAAGCCAATTAGTATATTTTACCTGACTGTAGCTCAATGTGTTTCATATTTTGAAGTTATTAAGTCAAAAGTAAACACTTTGAAGTAAATGAAAATTCAGTCCAAGTGACCAGTAGTTGACTAGTTGATTTTAATCTCCTCTGCATCAAACGTTACCAGTTACCAGTGGTACCATTAAATTCCTCTAGTCATTTTCACTTGTCCGTATCCCATTTCCTTTCATTGTTAACTAATTACTTATGATAAATTGAGTGAGAAGCATGTTTCCCATGGAATTATTTATTAAAATATACTAGTGGATATTTGCAAACAGAAAAATATTTGGAATAAATTAATTATATCTATTTTACTGGAAGAGATTTCATGCTTAAAGAATTCTTGCTTTCCATTGGCCTGCATGTAATGATATCCAGAAGCATTAAGCAGATAACCCATTTTGTTGCAACATTCCTTCCCCCAGAATTAACTCATATTTTATCATTCTTAAGTAATTTTGAGAAGGTTATTACATTAAAATGTGACATAAAATAATCATCCTAAAAAGGCATTGCATTTTTTTTTTTAGAACAGCAGTCTTAGATGTGTTTACTGCAAATGTCCCATTTATTTCAGTGAGGTTCAGTCTCAGATACATGAGGCTAAAGCTAAAGATTCCCCAGGGGACTTTCCCGGATAAATTGTTATTGCACCTCTTCTGCCCCATACATCTTTACCTGGTATGAAAATTCTTACTAATTCCCTAGGGCAAACTTGATGCTCTTGATCTGTGTTATATTAATGTTTTCATGATTACCAGCCAGAATGAATGAAGAAAATAACTGTAGTAAAATACAACTGGATGGCACCATGTTGGAGAATATTTTAATAAAACTCTAATTCCATGTCATCTGTTTTGCCACTGGCTTCATATATACTAATGTTTACATTCACAATGGTCTCATTAATTTAGGGTACTTGGCCATATAATATTTGCATAAAAGTCACTGATTCAGTCCCCATGAAATCAACCTTATTTCTTTTGCACCATTTGTTTACTTAGCTCTTGGATGTATGACCAAATATCACTTGTTATATGGGTAAGAAAGAATGGTGCATTTTGTTTTTCATCATTTATTATTCATATACTTGTAAAGAACTAAATCAGGGTATTTTTAATGTGTAAGACGTACAATGGTTAAAATGATTTTACATCTTTTATATCTTATTGATGAAAATTGGAGTCCCTGGAGTTAAGTATGATAAGTGATTAGATACATAAATGCAATCTCTCATCACTGGTATTATGTGAGTTATTTTCTTCTCTTGCTATGACTTGAATTATCTAGAAATGAGGTTACTGAAACTCAGAATGCTTTTATAAGTATTAAATCCATGCCTCTACATATATATTTTCATCTGTGAATACCTTAATTCTTCATGGAGCTCAGTTCCATGCACATTTCTGAGCTCAGAGATTTTTTTTTTATTCCCAATTGCTGGAAAACAATGACACAGGAAAATGAGACAAAGTGGAAAGCACAAAATAATGTAACTAATTATATGACAGAGGGCATAAAAAGGGGATTAGCTAGTGCCTTAGGGAATTGTCACAGAATCCTAATCTTATCTTTCCCTCTCTCTTCCCCTCCCAAGCCAACTGAAGTAATGAACTAGTTATAAATAGCTAATTAGTCATTTATACACTGCCCTACATGCAACATCTTGTTAAATGAAATTCCCTGGACCCATCCAGTATAGTGAGGTTTTTCAGAAAAGATAGAAAAGTAAATGGGGGATTAAGAGAGTTACTGTTTGTTAAAAGGATTATTGAAATGCAAGGTACGGTGAAATACATAAGCACTATGATTAATTTAGCAAAAGGCACAGACCATTCTTACCAATCAGCCTCTTATCTTGGCAAAATTATGCAAAGTTAGGGAGAAACACAGACCACCATTTGAACAGTTTCAATTTGATAATTTTAAAGAATACATGCATAAGAAAAGAATAATATTCAGTTAACCTGGATCCAACAATAATAACAGGTAGGTGCTAAAATACTATGATCATGAGGGTTTTTCCCCCCTAAAGAGTTTTATTTAAACAATATCCATGGTGTGGAATGCATTTCAGTTCAAAAATGTCAGGTATTTCTTGTTTACTTTAGCATTTTGGATGTTGAAACACTAAAAATGGGAAGTACCTCCTGTATCTTAGACATTTATGAAAATCTGTTTATAAGAACAGATCCAACATTAACAAACTGGCTGGATCAACCATTAGACTAAATATATTGTTGTTACATAATTCAAAGTTGCACATCTATGGTAAGTTTTCTAGCTGCCTCTCACTTTTTTTAAGCTCAGGATTTCTTTCTATATTGTTATCTTCCTTTCTCTACTTTTTCTAGTCTTACTACCATATTTTCCTTGTTTCCCCTCTTTCTTTTTCCACTTTCAATCATTGTTCCTTTGTGGTGATCTATCCCTCTCTCCCTGGCCCTGGTCCCTCTCTCAGGCATGCGAATATTGGTGAATTTGCTCTTGGACACATTACCCATGCTGGGGAATGTTCTCCTTCTCTGCTTCTTTGTCTTCTTCATCTTTGGCATCATCGGTGTACAGCTGTGGGCTGGTCTACTGAGGAATCGCTGTTTCATGGATGAGAACTTGACAATGTGAGTGCTCAGGAAATGACTTTCTTATTCCTTTTCAACTTTGTAAAGTCTCTGTTTCTCCCTCAATTTTATTTTATCTTTGATATTGAGCTAATCCCAGTCCCCAAGTCCCTCAGTCTTGTGTACTACATCTAAAAGTTCAATTTGCTTCTTGAAAGGAACCTGTCAGATTATTGAAATTACTGTTGTATGATTATGTATACCATCAACATGAAAATTCAAAGATTAACATAAGATTAAAGTGTTGGAGACGATGATGTAGTGCATCTAAATCCAACTCCCTCCTTGATGCAAAAAATCCAGACAAAAACATGGATTGCTAGTTTTTCAGAGTAAAAGAATCCATAACTTCAAGTAAATATTTCCAAGTATTATAATTTATTAAAATTCAAATATATACTGTATATTTAAACAACTGGATTACTTGCCCTTTCAATGTGTTGGAGAATTAACTGCTGTGACCCTCATCCAGAAAGATCCCTGAGTTCTGAAAACTGTACAATACATTTGGAGGGAGTTGGGTTAGGTAAGACTGTACAGTAAACAATAGTACCCTCTCCCTTTTCTCCCTTTCTGATTTTATAGCTACTCATATGGTTCCCCACAGTCTTCCCCAGTATTGAAGCAGATGATGTGTGAATCAGGGTGATAATTTCATGGAGAACTGTGGTGCTAACCTTTCTGTTAGTCTGTCTAGATCTCCAGGATGTTGGCATGTGTGCAGATTCTTAACTTGTCCTCTCTCTAATTTTACACATTGGTAGAAATCCAGCCTATGATGCAAATATGTAGTTTAAATTTTTTGCTTTGACCCAAGGATATTTCATGGGTTTTTTTGAATATAAAGTTGTTTTTTTTTTCATTTCATAATATATAATCACATGTATACTATTACATATTACATTATTACATAGCCAACATCATATTGTATTATTAAATGTTTAGATCAATTCATTTTACCATCAACTCCTAAAAACAATTATTGGCTCTTCTGCTCTCCATACACCATATTTGTACCTTATCCATCACTTTCTTCTCCCTCTCTCCTCCCCCTCCCTACCTCCTTTCTTCCCTCTGCCATCCTTCTCTTCTCTACTTCCCCTTCCTCTCTCCTTCTCCTCTTTCCCTTTTCCACTCCTCCTTTCTGTCCTCCTCTTCCCCCCCACGCACTGTCTCCTATCCCTCTCCTTCCCTTACCTCTCTCCTCTACTTCACATTCTTCATCTCATTTACTTGGTGTATTTCAGTTTCTGAGCAAGCTCCATTTTATGTTGATGGTATTTATAATTCCTTTTCAATATACATATTTAATTTTAACATATCTTCCTCCTTTAAAAAAATAGATTGTGCTTTTAGCACTCCCCTCCCCCACCTAATTTTGAGATGTAGACTGGTTACAATTCCCAGCTATTCTCACATTATATTTATATAATTATACATCCTTACATGCCCCCAATTTGTGATTCTGTCTTTAAATCTCAATAGTTTCCCATTGTAAGTATATTTCATGTTCCCTCTCCATTTTTCCATATCTTGGGTTAATTATCCTTAATTGTCTATAAATGGTAATCCTTACTGTTCAATGTTCATTACAATTCCCTTAATCTATTATATAAAATAACAAGTGGTAAATATCTCACTTTGTTCATCATCTTAAAAGTTCTATATATATCCATGTTTCATATATTTTAACCCATGCCTAATTGTCCTTTTATTGTCATATTCAATCAATTCTCAACTCAGTTTAATTATCATGTATAAAAATGAATCACAGACCTCTGCTTTACAATCTCCCCATATTAGTTTCATATTTGTCCATATTCCATATATTTTAACCTTTATTTAATTATCTTTCCATTATCATATTCAACCAGTTAGCAATTCCATTTTATTGTCATAGTTAGGAATAAACCCCTTATTTTAGCTTTATATTTTCCCATATAACAATTTCTAGTTGTCTAATTTTTTCCTAGTAAGTCTTTTGTCCCACTTCTCTGTTTCTCCCTTCTCCCTTTTCTTTGTTTTCACACGTCCACCCTCTTCAATTTTCCCCAAGCCACCATCAGAATATTTCTCTTTGTTGGGGCATAATCTCCTACTTCAATTTTCCTTATGCCACTGACAACCTCCAAAACATCTTTTGTCTGTTTTTTATTCCCTTTTGTTGGAACACATCCCCCTTTTACAATTTTCCCTATACCACTGCCAAGTCCAATGGAGTTTTTTGTCTGCTTTTTATCTACCTCCATTTCTACCCCTTCATTATCTTGCCCCCCTTCTTCTTTGCCTTCTTTAAATACCTGCTTCTCTGGGTTCAGAATTCTATTTAGGCTTGATTTTAATGATTTATGCATATGTTTTATAATTTCATGTAGTTCTTCAAATTCCCAGCTTCCCATGATGTCCAGTTCCAAAGTTAGTTTGTTATACAGTTCTTATTTCAGAGTTCTGATCCACCTTAAATTTATCTACTTCAGCTGCTGTGGGGAAGAGTGACGGGAGCCATCTTGGTCTTTTGTTCTTCCTTAATGTCCAGTTCCAAAATTACAGTTAGTTATACAAGTTTTATTTTGAGTTTCTGGTCCACCTTAAATTTAGTTAATTCAACTACTGTAAAACTGGAAGAGAAGCTGGAACCATCTTAATCTTTTGCAGAAAAAAAGGAGGAAAAAAACCTTCGTATTTCCCAGTTCTTGACTCTGTTATTATTTCCTTTCCTTGCCACTCCTCACCTCTCATTGGTCATAGCTGCTCAAAATACATTAATTGGAACAAGCTTGTATACAGCCAAAACTTGGGTATGTTTCTTCTTCGCCTCCTGCTTTTCCAAGTTCTGATTTACAGCAGTTGGTTAATTAGAATTTCCCACACAGGCAAGATTAGGTTATCAGTTGTCAATGAGGAGATAGTGCTTTTTTCTTGATCTTTCTCCCTTGTTGCATCCCATCTCTTATTAATTGGGATTGCTTAAGATATGTTTGTTAAAAGACACTCGGACGAAATAAATCTTCACGCTCCTAGACTCCTTTAAAAACACAATCGTTGCAAGTTGGAAGCCAAATTTAGAGTTAGTATTTGAGTGGGTTTGTCACTTCTCTGCTTTCTACCTTTCTGTCTGAATTGTTTCAAACAAATGGCTTGGGGGAGGGGTAGTGTTTCAACCCTCCATTTTCCTTTTCTTTATTTCTTTCTTTTTGAAAAAATCCCGTTCTGACCATCAATATTATTTATGCTCTCAAGGTTCTTTACCTTTTCAAAGTTTGATTTATGACTGTGGGTTATATGAATTTTCTTACCAGTCTTTCATCTCTTCCTCATACCTCTGTTCACTTGCTTTGGCTGGAAGTCAGTTTCTTGTGCAGCATGTTGCCATGCTGCCACCCCTACTCCGATTCAGAGAGTAAATCTCTGTTCTGCGAGGGACCTGTTGCCTCCCTCTGGGTCTGATGAGATGCTGCCCCTTCTTCATATCCCCTCTCCAGTGGGGTTTCAATCTAAAAAAGATCTCGGAGTTGGTTTGTCAGATATGGTTCATGTGAGATTCTTGAGAGCCCACATCCCCCGTACGTCTGTCCAGCTGGAGAACTTCCGGTCGAATCAGCTATTTCATGTTATGATTCATATCATATCAAGAATCACAGCAATATGGACTTTCCAATGAATATACATTTATGGTACATATTTATAAAGCATTTTTAGCATTTTAAATACATTTTCTGTGGTTTTTCTGCCTACTTATAAAAATTCAAACAGGTACTTGTTTTATTCACATTACATTTTAAAACATCTAGTATACATCTGAACCAATATCATGACTAAAGGAACAGATTATAAAATGGGTGAACTCATGGTTTAAAATTGTACTCCAGTATTTTTAGATCATTCGTTCTTTTTTTAATTTTTACAGATTTTTATTTTTCTGAGCTTCTACTATTTTAAGTTTTGATTCAATATTGTGGGAAGTATTGCTATCACATGTTGAGAAATAAGTATGCTTAATGATTCCATATGCTGGCATGGTACCAGATTACCCATTTGCTCTAGGAAACATCTGTTGTCTATTTTAGTTCTAACTGTGTCACAAGTCTTTCTCTCAAGGAAAGAAAATGGATTAAAAATGCTCTTTCTTTGGCCTTTTTCAACATCTCTTCCCAAGTATATAGAAATTGGATTTTCTTGAGTTATAATCACATCAGATCATCTTCTAAACTATTGGTCTAGGTCAACTTGAATGAGCCACAACATTTTCTGTTTCCTTCTCCATATCATACTTTGTTATGAGCAAACCAATAGTAGTTAACAAACCCAAAGTAGTTAGCATTTCTTCTCCAAACAAGAATTATAAACTAGTGCTGTTCTAGAGTTCAGAATGAAACACAGAGAGGGAGCTGAACATGCTAATGGCATTTCCAGATTTCCCATATCTTCAATTCCCAAATTTTCTGAACTTTTCTGAAAAAGAGGAGATCATCTTTCTTTCTTTCTTTCTTTCTTTCTTTCTTTCTTTCTTTCTTTCTTTCTTTCTTTCTTTCTTTCTTTCTTTGAATACCTGCCCAAGGTTCCTGCTTTCAAGGAATCATTTAAATACAATGAGCTGGGTACAAGAAGAAAGAACCTTCTTTTAGTTCTAATGTACCAATGGAATTAATGGGTAGAACTGGCAAAAATAGAATAATAAAATTACTTTCCACTCTGTTTTTAGCACTCAGAGAAGACTTTCTGATTGGAAATCTACTATTTTCTAATTTGGCTTCAGAGAACAAGCATTGACACAATAAAAAAATTACAGATTTAGTGTGCTATGGGGAACTTGGTCACAAACAAGCATGCAACCATGGAATTGGATCTTAAACTGGATCTTGTAATCAATGTAATGAGCATTTTACTCTTGTTGTTCTTGTTAATATTTCTAATTCTAGCTGATACCTCTGGATAGATAACATCATTAATCCTCTGCTTTACTAGTTTTTTATTATGGTTTTTCTTATAGTCAGCCAGCTATTTGGGGTTGGATTTGGGGGTAGGGGTATTGGTCACTTTCTGAGTGCTTCCAAGAAATCTAGGATAAGGAGATATTGTTGTTTAAGGATATTAAAAGTACTGTACTATCATAGAATGTAAGCTGTTCCAGGTAAAGTGTCTTTTGAAATTGACTGATAGTGATTTTGTCAGAAATAATAGTCTCTAATTAGTCTCCAGATGTTTTGAAATTGCTCCTATGATACTTACTATTATTGGTACTTTCTTTGCTTTCTTTTGTAAGCATTTGTTCTACTTCTATTTGCAGGTCTTTACATTTTGTGATTTTTCTCCATTATGCCTAATCTACACAAATATTATTAACTCTAATATTTGCCATAACAATTTTGTTCATGTGTTCTCTCAGCCAAGGTAACATCACTCTTCCTCCCTATTATCAACCTGAGGAGGATGATGAAATGCCCTTCATCTGTTCACTGTCAGGCGATAATGGTATCATGGGCTGTCAAGAGATACCCCCACTCAAAGAACGGGGCCACGTGTGCTGCTTGGACAAGGACGACTACTTCTACTATACCTCGGTCAGGCAGGAGTTCAACGTCAGTGGCATGTGTGTTAACTGGAACCAGTATTACAATGAGTGTCGTACAGGCAATGCCAATCCACACAAAGGGGCAATCAACTTTGATAATATTGGCTATGCGTGGATTGTTATATTCCAGGTAATCTGAGTCAGGTTATCCAAGACCACTACTCATTCTAAAGATGAGGTCCCCAAAACACCTTTTCAAGAATCCAGGGTTTACTCAAGATATTTGGTTTCCTGTGGCAAAGAACAGAAATGGACCTGTCTGTTTAATTTTACTTGAGTCCTGGCAGTGTCTGCTCCAAGTGGCTGATTTTGAGAACCGTGGTTTATTTCAGGGGTATGGCATGAAACAGTCCTGTGTCTCTAAGCCAGCGGTGCATAATCTTTTGGCAAAGGGAGCTACATTTTGTATTTAGGCAGACAATAGGCACAACCTATTAATTTTAATTTAAAGGAGTTGGTAAAAAAAAAAAGATTTTAAATCAAATAGAATTAAATGAGAAAACTAAACTAAGTTAAATTAAATTAGAATTAAGAAGACATTAAATTAAGGAAGCTAATATTATTCCTAATGATATTTAAAATGTTCTGATAAGTTTTGTGAGGGTCCCATCAACTACTTTGGAACACTATGGGGGTATAAGTCCTATACCTTGTCTTATGAAATATAATTTGAGAGCATCAGGCTAGGGAAAGTTGTTTTAATAGTCCATAAGGATTTTATTTTTTGCTTTTCTCAATATTTCTTTAAGATGCCTTACAAAAAAAATTGGATTATCTATCTCCTTGCAGGTACTGAAATATTTCCTATTCCCTCTTCTTTCAGGTGATCACTCTGGAAGGATGGGTGGAGATTATGTATTATGTGATGGATGCTCATTCATTCTACAACTTCATTTACTTCATTTTGCTGATCATTGTAAGTACACAGTAAACCAGGGAGCTGGACATTTATGTTCTTTGAAGTAAAATAGCTGTTGCAAATCATTCTAGGAGATACCGATTTCAAATCCTTTCTTTGAAATAGCAAAAAAATCATTCAAATTCACTTTGCCATTCTTGAATTCTTTCTAAGGTCTTTGAAATCTGTTGTCATGTTTAACTACTAATTTATAATCATGTTCCAAGAGCTTATAGTTTAAACAGACTTAAAGTGTATTCCACAAATCCCTTATGTGACAGGAAGGAAAGAGCTTAGTGATGGTCGTAGATAACACTAACTACTTAAATGAGAATAAAATATCTAATTTTTTCAGATTTCCCAGCCAGCCAGAATATGGCCAAAAATGTTCTATGGTCATAGAATTTTGGGAGTAGCTATCCAATGCATCAAGTTGAAAAAGGCTGTAATAGGAAATTTTCTATATTAAAAAGATACTTTTGTATTATTTGTATACCATTTTATGCCCCTATTGTTCATGTTCAGGTCAAATCATTGATAATTGGATCAAACTATTCCAACTTTATTTATTTAAAAAAAAAACCATACATTTAGATTTTCTGAGGTTTTTTTTAGTTTATATGTACATGCAGGATTTGAGCAGGATTTTTAAAAAAAAATCCTATAAAACAATTGGGGAAAGAAAAGAGGAAAGTATTGGCTATTGATGGATTGAAGAGTATCAAGGTTGATGACTAACCCAGAGAGACACAATTATTGAGAATTAGAATGTTCTTTATCCTTTGTTCATAGGGCCTTGACAATTTATTCATAGATTCCTAAATGCTGCACTTTGTGAATTCTTATGAATTGGATTACAATATAGGCAATATAGCCATATAGGCATAAATAAACGTATGAAGGCAATATGCCAATTTTGGTGCCAGTGGGCATCAAAAACAAAAGACTGGCTGGAAAAGTTATTTAATTGGTTTCCTTAAAACAGGGGTGCAGGGTTTAGAGCCCTGGGATTTTTTAGGAGAAGCAGAAGTAGCATTGATTTACTAGCATTCCCTCTTCTTTATGCATGTTAATAAAAATAGCATTTAAGCAAAATGTAATACAGACTAGTACTGATGATGTTATCTAATTTGGATATCGAAACATGTGCAAGAAAACAGCCAAGCTCAGAGAGCACCAAGAACCCCTCATAATACATTTTCTAATAGAAATGAATATTTGAGGGCTCAGGGTTCAATTGTGGGGTCCACAGTGCTCTCTGAGCTTGGTTATTTGCACAGATGTTTCATTACTCAACTAGGTAACATTACCAGGGCCAATGAGTGTGGATTTGCTCCCTATTTATATAAGTAACTTGTTCTGCCAATGTTGGTGGAAGTGTGGTTTTATACTTGTTAAATAGTTCCTTGATTACAGTACCAAAAATTAAGAATAGGAAAAAATACAAAACTCCAAAAAATTAAAAACAGAAAAAACAAACAAAAAGACAAAAGACCAGATTAAGAATCACAGCATCTTAGCTATCCTATATTGTCCCAGAGATTAACAATAATTCATCCTGTATCAAATATCAACGTTTGTTTCTTAATGCAATTTCTTATCAATAGTTGTCTGATTAAATATAATAAGTTCAATCTCCAAATATCAGGCTATCTTCCCAACAAAGTTCAGATAAAATTGCTTCCTGATTAAGTGTGATAAATCCATTCCCCCATCTTCTTCCATCCTTGTGGGGAAAGCCAATTTGCTTCTCCACTCCGTGTAATTTCTGCTGTTGTAAAAGAATGCAGGCTTATACTTCAAACAGGTGTACGCACCAGCTCAGTTAATTCTAAGTCTGTACAGTCCCAATTTCTTTCCAACAAGTTAACTGGTTCCAAATCACAAAACAACATGCTTCTGAATATTTTCCATAGCACCCCTTGCCAGATAGGTCTACAGCCATCCAAAAAAGTCATCTGAGTCATCCCTAAGTGCTCCCATTCAAATCCAGGGAGCAGCACTGCCAGAGAGCGAGCTCTGGAAGCAAAATCAGCAAACTGTCAGCAGGAAAAGGAAAAATTTCTACAATTCAGCAACCATTTGGGGATGTCTCCCCTCCCTTACATAATTATTCCTATGCAATCAACCAACAATAATGGTCAAAGCATACAATAATGGTTAAAGCAAGGCCCTTAGACTCTAATACACGTAGTCCTCAACTTATAACAGTTTATTTAGTGACTGTTCAAAATTACAAAAGCACTCAAAGTGACTTATGACCATTTTTCACACTTATGACTGTTGCAACATTCCCATGGTCATGTGATCAAAACTTAGATGCTTGGCAACTGACTCATATTTCTGACAGTTTGAGTGTCCCTGAGTCATGTGGTCACCTTTTGTGACCTTTAAAAAAACTAAAACAGTGGGAGGACCAGATTCACTTAATAACTGTGTTACTAACATAACACTTGCAGTGATTCAGTTGCCACAACTGTGGCAAGAAATGTTGTAAAATGGGGCAAAATCACTTAAGAAATGTTTCACTTCGCAGTAGAAAGGCTGGGCTCAATGTAGGTTGAGGACTTACGACTATAATTGAGTTCTCAGTTCTTCCATTTTTGTCTTTCTGTAACTTGAAGTTAAAATTCCCACCATTTCTATTAAGCTAAGACACCACTTTCGTGTGGGACCCTCATCCCTGCGATTTTATTTGTTGATTTGCAAAGAGAGGGTATTATAAAAGTTAAACTCCAAAATGCAGTATTTGGGAAAGCACTGAGTTGGAAAAAGTTGCTATTCCCTAATCATAACCTGACATACTCACTATTTCTTTCTAGTAAGAATTTCTATAAATAGGAAGACAATAAGAACAAAAAAAAAGTAAGTTAAAATACATGTTTGGAATTGGAATGAGCTTTCAAAATCCTTGCTCAAAGGACATAGACAAAGAAAAGCACTTGTTTGGCAAAATTCTCAATGTTATGGGGATCAATATAATTCAAACAGCATATGCAAGTATTCAGATTCAAAACAGGAAAGGTCCTTTGATCCCAGCAACAGTGCATTTCCTGTACTTGACAACAAGCACTGAAGAAAGCAACTTTTTAAGAGGTTGCTGGCTGATGTTGTGAGTGCATTCACACTATGTCCGAAGCCAGTGAGACTTGGATTGTATACAGGAGGCATGCTAGGCAATTGAACCACTTCTACATGACCTGCCTCCGTAGAATACTGAGGATCCAGTGGCAGGATAAGGGGCCAGACATAGAAGTCCTCTCCAGAGTAGACCTGCCATCCGTTCATACCAGGGGTGAAATCCAGCAGATTCTGACAGGTTCTGGAGAACCAGTAGCGTAAATTTTGCGTAGTTCAGAGAACCAGCAAATACCATCTCTGGCTGGCCCCAGGGTGGGGTGGGAATGGAGATTTTGCAGTATCCTTCCCCTGCCATGCCCACCAAGCCACGCCAAAAGAACCGATAGTAAAAATAAAATGAATTTCATCACTGGTTCACACCCTGTGAACTGATGAAAGCCCAGACACGCTGGACAGGCCATGTTGCAAGGATGAGACACTAGGGTGAGCTGTCTCAAGGAAAACGAGCTCATGGGGGACAAAGAAAGCGATACAAAGACATGTTGAAAGCCTCCTTCAACTCCCTGGAAATTGACACCACCTCCTGGGAAACCCTGGCACAAGATTGATCAGCATGGCGCACGCTGATCCACCAAGGCTGCCAGACATCTGAAGACAGAATAACAGCCATAGCACAAGCCAGAGCTGCAAATGCTGCAACAATGGTGCCCACACGTCTGCCCGACATGTGGCAGTATAACCCTTACCAGCCACCTGCGGGCACATTGTGGACAGCCCACAATCTGTTAGATGTCAAGGTCCTCTCTTCGAACACGATGGACAAGCATCATATCCGAAGCACCTTTCCTGCTTTGACTCCAAATACCGCATGTATTTAACAATTCTAAAGCACCCTGTTGTTCTTCACATGTCTGCAAACCAGTGAATCAGGTGAAATAAAAGCGAATACTATTTTAACAGATTTCATAAATCTTGCAAAATGTGTGAGATGGAAAGAACTTTACATTACAATACATCCAGCCGCTCAGCAGTTGGCCATCTAGCTTGCCCTCATTCAAAAACTTCCAGCAAGTAGGAATCCCCCAGTTTTGAAGCAAAGTGTTCCATTGGTAACATTCTTCCTGGTATTCTGCCCGACTATTTTAAAACAGCTGTCAAAGGCTTTTAAAGAACACTGTTTTATTTTGAAATAGTGAACTGTTCTGATCCTGAAGCTGGCCAGGAAAGGCTTAGTTTTTCAAAGGCTAATTCAAGTGCTAGCAGAGGCCTGGCCCCTTTGAAATGCTAAAAGTGAATGAAATGACTATCAGATAGAGCCTTCTGGCACCTTTGTCTAGGTGAGCTGCGCAGCAAGAGTAGAAGGCCATCGCGGTCTATTGTTCTCTGGGTAATTATGTTTGAAAGCTTCTAGGTGGAAAAACAGTAACTCTCTCCCTCCTTTTATGGCCTGGGGAGATGACAGTATTAAATCCTCCCTTTATTTTCTGTTACATCTTCCTAGCCTGAGGTTCATACAGTTGCTCTTTAGGCAGATTGAACTTTGAAAGATATTTAAAAAGATGCTTATTTGCTATTTTTATCCTGAGATTTATGTCATGTTGCACAGGATAATAGCAAATATTATTTTGTCTATGGGATGAAGGCTATGGGATAAGTAATGGATGGTGAAAAAATAAATTCAGTTATTGTTTGTTGTTAATTGGAATGACATGAGGATCTACATATCAACATGTTTGAGTCCTCTTTATAAAAAAAACAACCTTTTCATAACATTTAATTTAAGAGTAAGAACGTTTATGATATTAGCGTAATACCAGAACTACCATTATTAACATCCTTCCTGAGTTTTTAAAATAAGAATAAATATTGTTATCGTGTATGGTTTTAAAAAACAAACCAGAAGTACAGAAGTGTGTTTTTTTTAACTAGAAAATAAAAACAGGCTTACAATCTAAATGATCTTTATCGAATCTGGTGATTTCCAGTAGTTAGGTTAGGTTAGGTTAGGTTAGGTTTATTGGATTTATATGCCGC